GTATATATATATATATATATATATATATATAGTAGTTAAAGTAGGGTACTTTGCATAACTGTAAAAAACAATTTTAAACATACTGTCCAGCACTTCTGTGGTTTTATAAGAAAATAGTTTCTTTGACTTCAGTGTCTGCAAGTATGTTTCACCTCAGACTACTGCTCTTATTTTCTGCAAATACCCCATTACACTTTAAACCCTGTCTATACAGTGTAATGTAGATATTGGTTATTGATAAAGAAAAATCATTAAGCGTCATAGTAATTCTTAACATTATTTACTGGTAGAAAGAATGACTTGAAGTGAAAAAAATGGTAGTGTCCAACATATAAGTGAATACATGGAAGTATTATTTGTATAAGAGTGATGAATCTTAATAGTATTTCCAAGTATTATACTTTACGAGATTTTTATTTCATTAACTGTAATTTTATACTTTAAAAGTCTGTATACAGAAATTGAACACGTATGCAAATACATTTATATGTATCGAAAGTTTCAAAAGTTTCTATGATCAGTTACCCTGTTAACATACCAAAGATATTTAGAAGAATGTGAATTCCTGTTGGTGAAAAATTTAAATAATGAAAACGTCATAGTTAAACAAATCACCAGAGAAAGAAAAGGCGTTGTTCAGTAAAGTTTCGGGCAGTTGCCTTTTTCTGACCAAAGAACCGACTGTTCTTTTATCTAAAAAAGGGCAGTTGCCCAAAATGTAGGTTCTAAAATAGTTAGTAACTGGTTGCAACAAATGGTTGGTTTTAACCAATGATGATAGATGGGAATCCTGAGATGGAAATAAGCTGAAATGTGTTTTCTACTATTTGAGCACTTGGTTTAAGGCCCCCCAGTGGCACAGCGGTATATCTGCGGACTTACAATGCTAGAGTTCTGGTTTCGATACCCATGGTGGGCAGAGCACAGATAGCCCATTGTATAGCTTTGTGCTTAATTACAAACAAAACTTGGTTTAAGATTTGTGGTCAACATGTGCAAGTAGGAAGAACTTGACTTTGTATTGTGTTGTGAGATCATACCTTTGGGTTTTTCCGAAATGTAGAAAGGGGATATGCTCATACACCACATGAGAAATTGACTTAGACTGTATAAATATTGGTAGATTGTGTGCCTGAGAACTCAAGTTTGTGGTGTCTTCTGCATAGTAGTGTGTGTGTAGAGTACAGGTCTAAAAGTCTAGGCCTTCATTCTGGTTGTGGGTAAGCTCGTGGCTTTTAATGAATTTCATTTTTCAGTGATGTGAAATACTGAAAATTTGTCATTGATTCTAACTGATGACGTGATTGTGTTATAGCTTTGTAGACACAGGAAGTAAATTGTGTGTGAGAGAGAGATGTAAAATTGGAAGCTTGTCAGAAGTACGCCTGTTAAAAACAGGTAGCAACTATGGATTTGAGGGCATGCTACCCTAGAAAAGCTTTACAGTTTACAGTGGTAATTTGGATTTATTTGATGCAGCTAGGGCAAAGATATGATGGAAATTGGAGAAATAAACACAAATGAAATTAACCTAAAATAAGCAGTTTAATGATAAACTTGTATGATCTATTTTATTTTAACCTTTTTATTCAGTTGTTTTGACTCATTTATTTCCAGATTCAAATTAATTTTAGAATTTATAGTAAACCATTATTTTGTACCAAAAAATTAAAGTCGGAGAAATCTTGAACCTACTGAAATATATGTGGGAGAGAACAAAATGACTGCTGCTCTCCCCTCTTTCAATATCTGTGTGCAGCTAGGGTGATTCTTTTGTTTTGTTGTTTGACACAGGTCGTAGCAAGAATAATTTCCCGGAATAATCTCAAAGTGTAGTTTATATGTAAAGTAATCTTTTCGAAATATCGAGTGTAAAAGATACAAAAACGTGATGCATGGAATAGGGGAAAAAAGAGGAAGATGGAAACATTCATTGTGGAAAACGCTGTGAAATCAATACCAATACAATGTTGCTTACGTGTTGTTGGTTTTTAATGCCAAGTACCCAATGGGGTATTGCATTTTGTCCACAGTAGAGAATCAAATCCCAGATTTTAACATTACGATTCAGTAAACTTACCACTGACCAGAAAAGGACCCTATTAAAATATATATATTTTTGGTGAAAATAAAGATCTGAAAAGGAAATTCCACTGATTATGAAAACATTAAAAAGGTAGCACTGAAGATAATTGCTTTCAGAATAACAAATGGAAAGTAACTGTAGGTTTAGATATAAGTGGTCTGTTAAAAAGAGTACAACAGTCCATGATTTGACATATATTTACAGTCCCTAACCAGTGATATCGAAATAAAAACAAAACTACTAATCTAATAGTTAAGGGAAATACTTTGAGAGAAGTCAAACAAATTGATTACAATGATATTTTACCGCCAAACAAATTGATTATTAATTAATTTGTTTGACGGTAAAATATCATTCAATGATATTTTACCGTCAAATAAATAGATTATAATGATATTTTACTAATTACTAGAAAAAACGAGAAATTATTATTTAAGATTACAAGTCTATCAGCAATTCAGACATGATTATTTCACAAATGTATCATGCAAACCATACTAAAATTAAAGGATAAATCATCAGTTTATAACTGCTCAAGCCACGAAGAAAGAAATTGGTAAATTAATTCCCGAGTTGAAGGTTTTATTAATGAATATGCACTCATATTTCAAAAATAAAATATAATAAGATTGTTAGATACTCATTAGTTGAAATAGCAAACATTCTAGGTTAAGTGGGGTAAATTATTAGTAAGTCATAAACTTTGCTGAAAGTGAAGATTGGACTGAGAGTTTTGATGCAATTGAAAGTTTAATTATTATAAAGGGCAATTAGTACAGTGTAATTAATCAGTTTTAAGGATACCACGGAGTCAGGAGCATCATCCTTATAACGGGGATTCTCGGATGCTTATTTAGCTTTGGCTTTGTTGAATTCATCAATAGCGCTTTTTTTTTTCTGTTGATGTCCGGTTTTATTCTGATGTTCCTTAAGTCTGGGATTCATTTCTCTTCCGGTTTCTCTGATACAAAACTGATAAAATAAATTGCATTTAATTTGCAGGTGTTTCTGTTGATTATATTGTCAGGACTTGAGACTAAAATTCATAGGAAAGTAACAAACTCGGAACAATACCTTACTTGGAAATCGGCACATTCCATATATCAGAAACTAGAAACCATGAAGTGTATCATGCATATAACATTTAATATATACCCTGAAAACAATTTAGACGATGAACTACAAATAATTTCAGAAATCTTCATAAAAAAACAACTGTCCGGAAGAGGTTGTTTATAGGATGATGAAAACGACTCGCGAAGAAACATAACATCGACATAAATACTATAATCATAGAAAAGCCAAAAACTTTATTACTAACAGTTGCCTATGGAAAAACAACAACAACAAAACAAAAAACGGAGTATCCTACCTACAATATTAAATGCAACTGAAGTTAACAATATTATGTTGAAGAAACCGGAAGTGAAATGAACCGTATGCTTAAGGAACGTCTTAAAGGCCCCTCACATGATTTTGAACATCTCAGAGAAACAAAACATATCATCCCTAAAAACATTGTCGACAACATCCGAAGAGAACTAGACATCAACAGAAGAAAAATAACTGAAGCACTACTGATAAAGTTATCAAAGGTAAAGCTAAATAACTAACCAGGAATCCCCTTTATCTGTATTAGTATATTGTCCACCCCATTTTACTAATAAACTGATTTAACGCCACCTGAAAACCTTTCTTCACTGTCACGAGTGTGTAACGTTCTTTCGAATTCAACTGTCTTTTTTTTTTAATATAACTATTAGCTGATGATGACTCGATACTATGGGTCGGAACGTTATAATTATTAAAATAAGAACCTACCTATTGTAAAATTGCTGTTATTTTATTTCGAATAAGTTATTCAGTTCTGTAGATTTTTTAACTACCCACTTCTTTCTGATTAGCTGATCATTAACACAACTATTTCTCATTAAATATCACGTTTGATATTCATTATGCATTACAGGTAAGATGATGCTTGTTTTTGTAACTTTTCAGTACAAAATTTTATATTAAGTACATGCAGAGGGCGTCTTTAAATGTTTTGAAGAGCAGTTGTTCTGTTTTACTCGCTTCTCGAAAATTATGTGAGCTAATTATATGTTCAAATGCTTGATTTCATCCCCTCATTCTACTAATATTTCACAACTACATCTCTAATTTCTCTACACTTCGTTTGTGGTTCTCTTCAACACGTTATTGTTCAAAAACTGGTTGTATTCTTACTTGAACGATTTTGAGTTTTCTTCCGCCAATGTAAATCAGTTTCCTTAGATAGCTTATTTACATTATTTGTTATCATCAGAACTTCGATAAAGTTATGTAGTAGCTTATATTCGTTCATCCCAGAACTCTACATATCCTCTCTACTTAACCACAAACAAAAATATACATTACTTGATTCACATTAGATTGGAACGTTTTTTATGTTTTTTGTTTTCAGATTTCTAATAGGGTTGACTACACTTAAGTTTTCAAAATCTTACCGCGACCACATAGTGTAAGATAACTGAATACGTTTAAGAAAATAACATCAAACATGACGAAGCGTCACAAGAGATGAAACAACTCTTTTTTTTTTTTCTATCTAAAAACCATTTATTTCTTCAGCTGGGCTGACGAGTGTTTACGAAGCATATTCTACTTAAGTTATGCACTTAACCTTTCCAATAAATATATTTTTGGAATTTTTATTTTTTACCGTACTATTTCCTCAAAATTCACATTTTTTTAAAAATAAGTGTTAGCAATACTTACTCATCAACATTTTCTGTTGATTTATATATTAAACCTCATTTCTTATCTGCTGCCGAAACATATACTCGACCTATACATAGAGAGAAGTCTGTGCATCCTATGGTGGAAAGAAGAAAGATGTTGGTTTCTCTCTTTTACATTGCATATTGAATAATTTGAAAATCATTTCTATATTATTCTTTCAAAAATAAGAAATGTTTGACGACGACGAAGCTTAACAAAATTTATTTGTTAAAGAAAGACATATTGCACGAAAAAACAACAACAGAATGTTAATGAATGCAGTTACTGAAAGCACATATTTGACATTTGAAACCCGAAAGGCACCTTATGGATGCACGGGCTAAACTTTCATCTAATCAAAATAAAAAAAAACAAGCACAAAAATATCGCACTTAAGATTGATCGAAATAAGATTAAACTACAAAATTATACTAAAAAACTATATCTGTTGTATTATTTCTATAGACGACTCAATACACAAGATAACAAGCTGTAAGTTGATAAATCCAAATTGTCATTGGAACATGAACTCTGTGTTTCAGATTTTGAATACTTTGCTGGAAAATGTGCGAATGTTTGTCAGTGCATGGTTCAGTAAGGCTTAGTTAAAAAAAGGAAAATCTCAAGTCGAAAGTACTTTGCACAAAGCTCGAGTTTATACTCTCCTGGTTGGGACAACCAAGATCTATTTTACATAATATGTTGGTTAGTTGTCGAAACTACGTTAAACAAAGCCTGAGTTTTACTCTGGCTGGGAAAACCATGACCGATACGTTGGCTAGCTTCCCATAACTCTTCAATGAAATTTTTATTCTTATTCTTAGAACATTTAAATAAAAACTAAAGAAATTAAGGTTTTGAAAAGGTTATATCATTTAGTTTGCATTCCATCGAAAAATTTAGTAAGATGATTATAAAAATCTCAGAAAAGTTTTTCTATGATTCTGCTTAATGATGTAGAAAACTAAAAAACAAAATACTTCATAATTAAAAATTCAACCAAGCACATAACAAAAATTGAAAATACTTCTATTACTGTCAAATTTGAAATTATATTATTAGGTCGTCAAGAAATTGATGTCACTTTTTTTAGATAAAAAAACTTGAACAACTTATATATCAAACAAAACATTTATTAAATCCAATAGTCTCCATACTTATCGATGATGCTTTTCCATCTTACAATAAGATTGTTAATGCCCTAATCAAAGAAATCACTTGGCTTTGAAGCAAAAAACATGTCGATGTCCTCTTTAACACCTTCCACATTTGCATATATTTTCTCATTAACATGATGTTGCAGCGAACGAAAAAGATGGTAATTTGATGGTGCCATATTTGGAGAATATGGTGGGTGTGGGAGATCTTCTCAAACCCATCTCCATAATCTCGTGTTGTGTAAAACGTGTCACACGTAGACGTGCATTGTCGTGGAGAAGAACACCTTTCCGATTGACGAGTGAAAGGCGTTTCTGATGAAGGGCTTGATTTAAACGTTCCAGTTGCTGACTGTAGATCTCTGCAATGACAGTTTGCTGTGGATTGAGAAGTTCGAAATGAATTACTTCTTTGTTGTCCCACCAAATGCAAAGCACCACTTTCTGCGGATGGAGTCCAGGTTTTAGGATCGGAAGTGGTTTTTGTCTAGGACAGAGACATTGTTTTTTGCGTTTAATATTCGCATAGAGAATCCATTTTTCGTCATCGGTGACAATTCTGTCCAAAAATGGTTGACGCGCATTGCGCACCAGAAGAGACGAAGAAACGTTCATACAAATTTAAACGATGATCATCGGAGTATTCGTGAAGCACCCAAACACCTTCTTTATGGAGTTTCCAATATTCCTTATATGTTTACGTATTGTTTCATGAGAGACATGCAATTTCGGGGAGTGTGTTGCTTTGGATTAGACTCAACAAATGTGTTCAGAGCATCAATATCAATTCCAACATGTCGGCCCCTGCCATCACACTTTTTCAGGCTAAAGTCACCTGAACGAAATTTGCTGAACCATCGTTGACACTTACGAACGTTGCAACACCATCTTAATGAGAAAATGTATGCAAAAGTGGAAGGTGTTAAAGAGGACATTGACATGTTATTTGCTTCAAAGCCAAGTGATTTCTTTAATCAGGGCATTAACAACCTGATTGTAAAATGGAAAAGCATCATCGATAAGAATGGAGAATATTTCATTTAGTAAATGTTTTGTTTAGATATATATAAGTTGTTCGGGTTTTTCATCTAAAAAATAGCGATATTAATTTCTTGACGACCTAATACTATCTGTTATTAATGAAAGGCATGCCATATGTTTTACATAAAATAAAATAAACAATTGGCAATAGTAATCTTAGTAATTCATTACTATAGTACTTGTAATCTTGATAATTAATCACTATGGTACAAGTTATACCAGCAATCCAAACCCCTGTACAATTAACTTGAGTAATACGTCGTTCCTGCGCTAGTAATTTTGGTAATCTATAAAAGTTTCTTGTGAAGCGTGTAAGGAGTCTGTCTCTATTGTAATAGGAAACATTTTTCTATTGAAATAGCCCATATAAGTTATAAGCCTGTATTTTGTTTTGCCTTGGGTTTATTAATCTATTTGCAATTTGTATATATTTTACAAATGTGTGTCTTCACAAAGTGTGTTTGTGTTTTAACAAATGTTCATGTTCAATGAACGCTTGGTGCTCGTGAGCAGACATTTAATTTGTTATAATCTGAGAAGTACATGATATTAATATAGTGGTTATGTACCAGTCCTTCTGCAGAAGGAAGACTATCGAATAATTCGTCACACCATGAACAGGATAAATATAAAAACCATACAGATTTTGCCTTCATGTGAAAATACTTACGATTATCACATTACAGAAATGAAACGAATCACATTTAGTTTTATGGCTGTAACCAGACGAGTGTATACCGTAACGTACCAGAATACGAGAGTATGCTATCTTTCGGAAGATGTCTGTTATCTGCGACATTTTTCAAATAAGCATTAAATACATAAAATTAGACTCCTAATGTGTTACAACCTTTAAAAGCAGAAGTGTATATCATCAGTTCACCCCCAGAGAGACGTATTTTGAAATCACTTCTGGCCATGTGCTTGTACCACGTGATTTATGGATGGCAAGCAAACCTTCCAAAGTGCTACAAGTCTATATGCTTTTAACCCAAAGAATCTCCAAACAGCTCATGCGCAACAAACAGTGCCTTAGAATTACTCAGATTGTAGTCGAGCTGCCGTGAAAGACAAGATGCTAGAAGGAACCCTCTCTGTTTATGCTTTTATCATTATTTTCCCGTTAGCTATTGTTGGTGGAATAATATTTATTATTCGAATGATCATCAGAAAAACAACCTGGTGTGAAAGTAATGAATCATTGGAAGGCAAGACTATCATAGTTACAGGTAGCTATAATAAATAACAAATATTTATAATAGTTAAATTGGAGTGTTTCTAATGAAGTACAAATAACGATTTGTTTACAATAATACTTGTTAATAATAGGTAATATGTGCCAAAAAATATAGGTAAGAAAGAATATTACCTGCCACATATCCCATTTTATAAGGTAAGCACCATAAGCGTTCTTATTGGTGAATTACAAATAATTTCATTGACGATAAATATACTTAAAAAGGGCACTAATAACTATAATTAGTATTGAACTCTGGTCTAACTAAATATTATTAATATGTATTATATAATCTTGTTATCTAGAAGATATATTAAATAGGATAGCGCTGAACGTTACCTTAAGTAATTTCAGGAAAATGTTGGTTGTTTGCAATTAAGCACAAAGCTACACAATGGGCTATCTGTGCTCTGCCCACCACGGGTATCGAAATCCGAATTCTAGCGTTGTAAATCCACAGACATACAGCTGTGTCACGGGGGAGGGGGGTAGGAAAATGTAGACCTCTCTCTGGCAGTTGTTTTTGATGCGAAATTAAATAATACGGTAGAAATAATTAATCATTAGAGGTGTTCGAAGATTAAGCAGTCCTCCTTCGCCCCGCTCGTGGATAAGAGGTGATGTGGGCATTATTTGTGAAGGTTTGTGACAAGGGGCTGAATTGTATATAAATTGAATGAGCTGAAAGCTTGATAAGATTAATAAACGAATTATCGAATAAACTACTAAACGGCCGATCTCGGACATATGGTTCTTCAGGGCGGCGGGGATCTATAAATCCTAGGCCAAAAAGTTGACCTAATGTGACCGACCAAGCTTAAAGAAATATAGGCTTAATATAAGCAATGGCAATTCAAGAGGTAACGTTATTTATTACAATGTTGACAGAATATGTAAACGTAGTACCACCGACCAGGCTTAAAGAAGTAACTTTATGCATTATAATGTTCATGGTTTAAGGCTATAAAATGTAGGCTTTGTATGATCTATGAGACTAAGAGGTAAACTTGCTCATTACAATTTTGATGGTTTCAGGCTAGGAAATGTACACTTAGTATGACTGATCAAATTTTAAAAACTGACCCTACTCACTACAGTGTTGATAGTTTCAGGCTAGAAATTGTATATCTAGTATGATCAATAAGTCTAAATGAAGTAACCTCACTCACTGTATTGGTTGAAGGTTTCAGGCTAGGAAATTTAGACTTATTATGACTGATCAGAATCAAATAATTTCATTATTCACTACAATGTTGATAGCTTCAGGCTAGAAAAATAGAATTAGTATACTCAAGATTTAAAGAAGTTGCCTTAGTCATTACATTGCTAATGGTTTGAAGTTAGACAATTTAGACTTGGTATGACCGATAAACTTCAAATATTTCATTATTACAGTTTTGATGTTTCAGGCTAGAAAATGAAGACATAGTATCACGGATCAGATTTAAAGAAATAGCTTTACACACTATAATGTTAATGTTTTCAGGCTATAAAATGTAGGCTTAATATGACCGATTAGACGTAAAGATATAACCTTACTCACTACAATGTCGGCGGTTTCGTTGTAGTAAATGTAGCCTTAGTATGATCAACAAGACTTACAGAAGTTATATTACTCAATACCTTCTTGATGAAAATGTAAGGCATGAAAATGTAAACTTAGTATGACCAATGAGACTTAAAAACGGAATCCTAATTATTGCAGTGTTCATGGTTTTTAACCTAGAAAATGTAGACGTAATATGAACGACAGACTTAATGAAATAACCTTACTCATTACAATGTTGATGGTTTCAGGCTAGAAAACGTAGACTTAATATTTCAAGTCTGACTTAAGTAAGTGACCTTATACATTACGATGTTGCTGGTTTCAGGCTAGAAAACGTTGACTTAATATTTCCAGTCTGCCACAAGGAAGTGACCTTATTCATTACGATGTTGCTGGTTTCAGTGTGAGAATGTAGACTTAAAGGAGTAACCGTACCTGGTATAGTGTTGATTTTTTTTCACGCTGGAAAATGTAGACTTAATATGACCAACCATATTCCAAAAGAGTAACCACACTCATAGATACGTTGATGGTTTCAATCTTGGAAATGATGACTTAGTATCACCAATTAGTTTTAATGAAGTGACCTCAGGTACTACAACACTGATGTTTTTAGTATAGAAAATATACATAAATTACCAACCAGACTTAAGTTACCTTATTCATAAAATTGTTGATAATTGGTGGCTAGGTAATGTAGACCTACCACGATCGATCTGAATCAAATAATTTCATTACTCACTACAGTGTCACTACTCATTATAATGTTGATGGTTTAAGGCTAGAAAATGTATATTTAGTATGTTCGGTCACATTTAAAGAAGTAATTGTTACGTATCTGCTCTTTGTTAATTTCCGGTATAAATTCTTTCCGAGAAACTTCAGCGATACAAGTCC